ATCACGTGCATTCACCTTGGACTGCTCCGCCCAATTCAAACCCACTCAGTTGTTTCCTCTCATGACATTAATGGGCCCTCTCATGACATTAATGGGCCCTGTCCTGTCCCCTACGTGCCCAACAAGTCCTTGGTTAGAGCATGAGTTCTGAACCTCATCCTCTCAAAGTCAGCAGCTTCCTGGCACCTACCCTCTCCCTCACCTCCCTTTCCTTCCTCTCACTCCAGTGCTTAAAGCATAGGCTGTCTCTTCATTTCACACATGTACCATGCCCAGCATAACAGTGCCCAGTTCTGAAGAGGAGCTCTAGGATCCAGACACACAGTACAAATCAATAGTAATAATAGCAACAATAATACTAAAATAATATATATTTTTTTCAATTTTCCATTCTTGCGGTGCTTTTGGAGCTTTGGCAAGGCCCTTTGTTGTTGTAACACTGTAGCTTATTTTGTCCACACTGAGTCATTGTAATGCCTTGGGCCAGTTACAAGAGCACCGTCCTTATCTGCCCAGGGCAGAAGCCAATGGATGTAGCCTGCGGCATTGCTCATTCTATTTCTGTTCCAAGGCTGCGCAAGCCTGAATACGTGAACTTAGAGTAGGAAAAGCCGGTGTGCGAGGTGCAAAATCATGCAGGGTGGCAGCTCCTCAGTCAAGCTGACAGAAACTCTCAACGACTGTAGGCCCTGAGTCAATCTGCCTGACAGTGCAGGGGGTGACGTCAACTGAAAGAGCTGCATTGCCCGGCCAAGGCCAAGTAATTGGAGATGACAGCAGATGCTGAACATTTCCAGGAAACTGGGAACACTTCGAATTTCCTTTGCTTTTGTGGATGAGTGGAAGGAATACTGGAGGCACCCAGTACCTCCCAGCATTTGGCTTCAGCTACATGGAAATACAGCACAAGTCAGAGCAGTACCACAAGTTTGCCATCCGGTTCTGCCCTGTGTAGATAAACCAGCACTGTTTTTTCCCTTCACTCAAGGACCTAGTGTGAGCTGCAGAGATAAAATAAACAATGGTATTGACAGACTAAAAAGATGCCTTTCATTGCTACAGACCTTGTCATTCAGCTGCACCAGGAGTCATGGGAGGAAAGTCAGCAGCATTGGAAAGAGGAAAATTTTAGCATAATTGTGAGCTTTTGCAAGTAAAAGGCCAAAGTCAGTTACAGCTCCTCACTGAACACAGAGGCAGCAGTTCTCCATCGGTTTTGTTTTGTTGTTGGCAACTTCTGGAGAACTGACGTCTTAAATCCAGATTTCTGGCTTTAAAAAGTGATGGAATGGAAATGAGCTGCCGTTTGCAAGCAGAGTTTTCACATCCCTTCATGACTCCTTTAACAAATGCAGAAGCTCTTGTCATTTCATGTTTTTCTGAATGACCATTCAAGACAACAAAATGTCCAGCCTTAGGTAGCTGGCCTATGTACAGCTTCAATATACCAGAGATAACATAGTTTGATAAGAAAGAACACTGGTAGCTATTTTGTGTATGTCCATGTATATGTCTCTGTTCAGCTTATGGAGAAGATCGCCCAAATGATACTGTGGTGTTCCTGCATGGCATGAATTAGCTTCCAGCCCAAGTCTAAGTCTCCCTTTTCTTACCTCAACTGAGACTAAACTTATTTTCTAAAAAAAAAAGAAGAAGAAGAAAACAATTTGTCCCTCTAACACCTGGTTTCTGACTTATAGCAGCATATGGATGGCAAGTCCTATTAAGGACACAGAGACCAGACCAAACTCGACGGTCACCGTGTTTAACCTGGCAATAAAGGCGCTGCCATGTGAAGCTCCAATTCACTGTTCTGATGGGATTTTTAAGAGGCATCATACGTGGCTAAGAAAGTCACCCACATGTTAGTTAGGTTTACATAAGATGAAACTCATACTCTAGACAGAGATTACAAAAAGTCCTCATCTAAGCTGTATTCATGCCTTCACTGATACACAAAAAAATGTGTTTTGATGCATCATGCATTTAGCCTCATATTAAAAATATTAAAGTCATATTTAAAATAAAGGAGTTGACAAAGGTTGCGTTAAAAATAACCATTCTCCTTCACCCCTCCCCAGAGGAACAGCCTGAGCAAACAGATAGGCAGCACTGCACTTCCCTAAAGGACCACAAATTCAGGCTACAAAGAAACAAGTGTTGAGGAGAGCCTAGAACTGAGATCTGCCGTCTTGTGGGTCACAGCAGTGAGCAGCCTCCTGCTGACCAAGGACACCAGAGCACTATGTCTGCAGGGGAGGGTCTCAGAGCAGGCTGGAGTCCCCTGTACACCCCAGCCTGTCCTCAGCATCCAGCCAAGCTGCTGCAGGGTGTGTGGCTTTGCTGAAAATCCCCATATTCTGTGGGAGAATAGGTTGCAGCCTTATTTGAGACTGCATTTCAGCTTATATTTCAGGATATGGCCAGTGGGTCTGCACACAATGCTTATACCACATGGTCCTGCAATACCAGGTGGAATATGTAATGGTCGATGGGATGGGCTTATTGCTCGTCTATACTGCAGTTAAGCTGCATGCATCAGTTTGCACTAATGAGAGTTGTAGGGTCAGGCCTTTGCTCAGATCACTTTTAACCTTCACCTAAAATCCTGGCCTGCATGGGGATTTACACCGTGCAAACTTGAGAGGGATTCATGCTTGATGACTGGAGCATGCTTGGGCCATATGTTTATGGTATAAATATCCCTAATTTTCCAGGCACCATATTTTGCTCAGGCAGCTTAATGACGCTTTTTTATTAGCACTAAGACTGATCCAAATATAGTTGAGAAGCCAAGTAACTTTTAGAGCAAAATTATTACTTTATCTTCAGAAAAAAAACCAGGACTGTCACTATAGATTGCATCACACAAGTGCTGCTATTTTCCTTGAGCAAAAGTCCAGTAAAATCAATAGAAGTGTTCCTATTAATTGCCATGCAATATAGATTGGACCTAAATTGGGTAACCAGATTCCATGCTAAGTGAATATTCCTCAGGAACAAGCCACATGAAGCTGACTCACATTCATCATGGCTTGGCAATGACCCTGTGGTTAGCATGTGTAAGCTATCAGCTTTTTATCATGTTTTATAGCTGTGCCATGCCAAGAGCAGAAAATCAGCCTCATACAAAAGGCTTATTCACTGCTATCGGACGAAGGCAAGCAGGTATTTGAGAAATGGATTACATGCAAATACTAGATGTGGGGGAGACAGCTTGGAAGGGCTACTGCAGAATAGCTATTCCACACTGCTTCCCTGTATTACTTCCCACACTACTTCTCAAAAACTCAGTGTCGCTCCAGAAAATATCCTGAGTGCTTTTCAGCTTCCAAGCCAAAAAGATGAGGCACAGGGAAGCACTCAGCACAAAACGGGAGTCAAGCACTGAGGGTGCATCAGCCACTGCATTTCCAGTTGACACTCACACTTATACCACAACATTTTCCCTCCCAGACAAATTCTAAATATTATATTCCTCCAGTATATACAGTGATTTATTTGTATAGCTTGATTTATACGCAGGTGGCTGTTTCAAACTCTGAGCACTTCTAATAGACCACAAAACAGAACCCAAATAATAAAGATCAGTGATAAATCCTGCATTAAGCCTCCACCATATGGGCACAGTTTCTGAATGACAGAGTGCTCTTGAAAGCCCCAAAGGTTCAGAGCTAAAGCAATCACATCCTTCATGTGTTTCTTTCACATGAAGGTGAAAGGCCCAGTAATACTGACAAAGGTTGATTTAATGGTACACATTGCTGGCTTGCAAATCATCAGGGATACACAGCAGCCATAAAATCAT